CCAATTTCATGTACCATTTCCATGTCAATTTCACATATCAAGAAGTGTGTTTGAAGAAATTCACAAGTTTTCCTGTTCTCCAAGCAGCACGGATTCGTGTTTCATTGAGACCTTTTAATTCATCCCAGTTTCCAAATCTCCAATATGCAAATGTTTCATCTGGTCATTGGCTAAAGCAGAAGACCTCAACATGCTATTGGGGAAGTAAGTTTTCTACTAGAACCAATCAGGCCAGTTCTCATTTGCATGGAAGGCGAAAGCAGGAGATTTAAATGAAAGGGAAGAAGAAGATCTGAAGAAGGTTATAATTTTCCTCTAGAGAAGGATATTCCTTGCCAAAGTTCACCATGGGTTGGGCAGTGGTCTTCCTTGCGCTCCTCACTTATTGCACAGGGAGAGTTTTCTGGGCCAAGAGAGGATTTGGCTGTGATTCTCATAAGAAAAGGTTTTCTTGGAAATGGCTCAGAGCAAATGAAGGTGCATCAATTTAACAGTATTTCTTTCTTTTCCCCCCCTCACTCTTCCCCTCCCTACCTCCCACTATAAATTTAAGGCATCAATGCCCAGCCCAGTTGGACTCAGCCTCCTTCCAGTTCCATGTCCCTGCGTGAAACCATTACACTCGCCTGCACAACAACTCAGAGTTCCTACAGCATTGAGTGGTATCAACAGAAAGGAGGAGAAGCCCCTCGTTTTGTCCACTGTGATGGCTGCAGCAGGGGGGAAGGGATCCCAGATCGGTTCACTGCCACCAGATCTGGGAGTACAGGATCTTTGGCCATCACCAATGTGCAAGCTGAAGACGAGGGAGATTATTTCTGTGGTAGCGGGAATTATGATGATACTGCGTTGCACAGTGGTGAATTCTTATGGGGAAGTGTGACAAAAACCTTCATTCTTCCTCTCAAGACTGAAACCACATGCAACATCCCTTGATCTATGACTGCGGGCACTTGAGGTGATGATGCAGGAGAGAAATTCCTGCAAGTTCATCGTCTTCCGCACAGAAGTCTCTGAGTGCCCAGCAAGGGGGATAATAGGCATGGGAGTGTGGAGGAGAAGGGTGCAGGGAAGCCCAGAGATCCTTGGCCTCAATCCCCCCTGTGCTATAAGTACAAATTTGGAAAGGAGAAGACACAACATTGTTGTAGCTAGAGGTGATTTGCAGGTGCTTCAACACTTGTTTGGAAATGGGCCAATCCACCAATTCTACTTCAGGTGGATTGTTCCAAACATTAAAAGAAAAAGAGAGAGGATTTCTTATGATTGGCCTTATAGCCTGTATGTTTTCCCCTAAACTGGAGGTTTTACTTGTTTTTCATTTTGAAAAAAAAATGTTATGCTCTTGGTTTTATTGTAATTGTAAATTAGGTTTTACATGTTGGCATTAAGTAGAGTCTGACAATTTCATTTGTCATTTCCATGTCAATTATAATGATAATTCCTCCCAGTTTCAAATCTCCCCTATGGAAATGTTTCCTCTGGTCATTGGCTAAACTAGAAAACCTCATAATGCTTTTGGGGAATGAAATATACTAGTAGAACCAATGAGTTCAGATCTCATTTGCATGAAAGGAGAAAGCAGGGGAATTTAAAGAAAGGCAAAGAGAAGTTCTGAAGAAGGTTAGAATTTTCTTCCCTAGAAGGACATTCCTTGCCAAATGTTGACCATGAGTTGGGCTGTGGTCCTTCTTGTGCTCCTCACTTACTGCATAGGTAAAAAAATTATTTCCTGGGTTAAGAGAGGATTTGGTTGATTGGTTCTCAGATTGGTTCTCAGAACTTGACAACCGTTGATCTGTGACTGTGGCCAGTTGAGCTGAAGATGCAAGAGAGAAAGACTTGTACGTTTAGTCTCTTCCAGGGAGGCGATAGGCACAGGAGAGAAGAGTTCATGGAAAGCAAACAGGCCCAGGGCTCTTATGGTCTGAGCAGAAACTGTGAAAGGAACAGATGAAAAATGGGAGAAGAAAAACCATTTGCAGCTGGTTTAGCACTGAATAGGAGGAAGGGTCAAAAGGATTGTAGGAGGACACGACCCTTAAAAAAAAGCTGTCACAGGGACAGGTTTGTGGCATGTCTGGAGGACGTAGGGATGAACTCTTAGTAAAAAATTTCACACTCCTGTGTGGTTCTCCTACATTAGATATGGAGCTGAGCAAGCATGCCAGTATTTGCTTACTTGGAGAATTGTACCACCCACTGGAAATGTGAAAGTCATCCTTTACCACAACCCCTTGGCTTAATTGCTATATGGAATTTCTGCATTCACTATAATGGGCCTCATAGCAATCACAAGTTATAACTTCTAATATCTCTCCAGAGTAGGAGCGTATTCTGAAAACAAGTGGTTTTGGAATATCTCCTCAGATAAAAGAGTAGATCCTGAAACCAAGTAGAGTGTTTAAATATAGAAGTTTCCAGTGGTGGGATTCAAATTTTTTTTACTATCAGTTCTGTAGGCGTGGCTTGGTGGACATGGTGTGGCTTGGTGGGCGTGGCTTGGTGGGCATGGCAGGGGAAGGTTACTGCAAAATCCCCATTCCCTTCCCACCCCACTAATCTGCTTCCCAGCTCCGTTCTCCTGTGCAGGGCAACCAAAGAAGAACCTAGCCGATCAGCTGGGACTCGGGAGGCAGAGAAGAAATGGGGGTGGGGCCAGTCAGAGGTGGCATTGGCCAGTTCTCCGAACTACTCAAAATTTCCACTCCCAGTTCTCCAGAACAGGTCAGAACCGACTGAATACCAATTCTGGAAGGTTCCCCTTATCTACCACAGGGTGATCTGGCAATGAGACCTTTTAAATCTTCCTCCGTTTCCAAATCTCGTCCATGCAAATGTTTCCCTTGGTCACTGGCTAAACTAGACAAATAGACAACACTATGGTTTTTGGGAATTATTCTAGGAGAACCAATGAGTGCAGTTCTCATTTGCATGAGGAGGTGAACTCAAGGCATTTAAAGGAAAGGGGAAGATTTGGTTATAATCATCCTCCCTGAACAGATATTCCTTGACAAAGTTGGCCATGGGTTGGGCCGTGGTCTTTCTTGCACTCCTCACTTACCTCACAGGTAAATTTCCCTGGGCCAAGAGGGAATCTTCTTGTCTTTCTCATAAGAACTTGGTCCCTTGCAAATCTCTAAGAGCCAAGGAAGATGCATCAGTTTAATAGTGATTCTTTCTTTCTCTCCCCTCACTCTTTCTCTCCCACCGACTCTCTTAAAAGGCATTGATGGCCAGTCCCCTTGGATTCAGCCTCTCTCCAGATCCGTGTCCCCAGGTGGAACCATTGCAATCTCCTGCACAACAACTCAGAGCACCAAGAGTATTTACTGGTTTCAACAGAAACCTGGAGAAGTCCCTCGCTACGTCCATTGTAGTGGCTGTAGTAACAGGGGAGAAGGGATCCCAGATCGGTTCACTGCCACTAGATCTGGGACTACAGGCACTTTGACCATCACTGATGCACAGGATGGAGACGAGGCAGATTATTACTGTGCTAGCTGGAACAGTGCAGATACCATGTTGCACAGTGGTGAATTCTTATGGGGAAGTGTGACAAAAACCTCCTCTCTGCCTCTTCAACCTGAAACAAGAAACAACATACCTTGACCGGGGATTCTGAAAAGACTGAAGAAAAACATCTGCTGGCTCATTTCCACTTGCAAAAAAATCTGTCTGTCCCCATTAAGGGGGATGATGGATATTGGAGTATGGAAGAGGAACAGTGGTGGGATTCAAAACTTTTTACTACTGGTTCTGTGGGTGTGGCTTGGCAAGGCATGGCAGGGGAAAAATATACTGCAAAATCCCCATTCCCTCCCCACCCCACTAACCTGCTTTCCAGCTCTCTACTCCTGTGCAGGGCAACCAAAGAAGACCCAGCCAAAGACGCCAAAGAAGACCCACCCAAAGAAGAGCCACATGTGAAAGAGCCACACGTGGCTCCAGAGCCACAGGTTACCGACCCCTGACTTAACCAAAAGGATTGGCCAGATGTGGCTTCTGCAAAGTCTAATCTAGACTAAGGGAGGAGGCACTGATCCTTCACCCAAGATGTGAAATAAGAAAGAATAAGGGGAAATGGTTTCCATAGAACAGCTATGCTTCCACATCATGTTCAAATAATAATAATAATAAAACAACTAATATTAGGATTGGTTTTGATATGTCTTTGAGATGTCTTTGTTCTTATTTCTTACAGGAGGATGACCCTCCTCTTTTCTAGAGCTGCTGGCTTTGGATGGAACCATCCATGATGAGAACATCAATGAGTGTGGTCTACATTCCCCCAATCCATCCCGAGCAAATAACTGTGTCAGCTTTGGAAGCCATATTGAGACCAGACGCTGCCATATTTTGAGCCTGGGAAAGTGGGAGGGGGGAATTTCTTGGAGTGTATGTAGTTAGACATAATAACATTCTTTTTCTAATTCAAGGTCATGTTATTTTGCGCATAAGTGAGGGGAAGTCTCAAGTTGGGACAGCTGGTGATTGGGGCATGTCATGTGATGATGGGTGTATTAGGGGATGGATTTTATAGTTTTTATTTATTTATTTTAAGGAAGCCTGGAACTTTCTGATTCGGGATTCCCCAGTTGTACCAGTTACTATCCAAGTAAAGGACATCTCGGAGTTATTGATTGGAGTGGAGGTTTGCTGGAACGCTGACAAACTGCTAATTTTGATTCTTCCCCCCTTTTTCTCAATGTGAAATACAGTTCTTGTTATTTTATTGGTCATGGCATGGAGATCAGATCTTTACTAAGTGCTGGTGGACCACGGCATTCAATTCGTCCTCTATTTCTGAATCTCTTCTATGCAAATGTACCCTCTTGTCATTGGCTGAGCTAGAAGACCTCAAGATACTTCAAGGGAATAAAAGAATCTAGAAGAACCAATGGCTGCAGATGTCATTTGCATGTAGAGGTGAACCCAGAGCATTTAAGGAAAGGCAAGGAGAACACCTGGAGAAGGTTATAATTTTCCCCCTAGAAGGACATCCCTTGCCAAAGTTGACCATGGGTTGGGCTGTAGTCTTTCTTGTGCTTCTCACTTACTGCATAGGTACAGTTTTCCTGGGCCAAGAAAAGTTTTGATTGGGATTCTCAGAAGAATTTGGTCCCTTGGAAATGTGTAAGAGCAAAGGAAGGTGCATCAGTTTAACAGTGTTTCTTTCTTTCTCTCCCCCACCCCTTGAAAGGCATTGATGGCCAGTCCACTTGGATTCAGCCTCCCTCCAGCTCTGTGTCCCCGGGTGGAACCGTTACGCTCCCCTGCACAACAACTCAGAGTACCTGGAGCATCGACTGGTATCAACAGAAAGGAGGACAAGCCCCTCGTTTTGTCCATTGTAGCAGCTGTAGTAACAGGGGAGAAGGGATCCCAAATCGGTTCACTGCCACAAAATCCGGGTCTAGAGGCACTTTGACCATCACCAATGCAGAAGTTGGAGACGAGGCAGATTATTACTGTGGTAGCTGGGACAGTTCAGGCAACCTGTTGCACGGTGGTGAATTCTTATGGGGAAGTGCAACAAAAACCTCCTCTCTGGCTCTTCAGCCTGAAACAAAAACCAACATACTTTGGTCTTTGACTGAGGATACTTGAGCTAAAAAGATAGGAGATTAAGCTCCTCCAGATTAATTTCCATCTGCGTAAAAGTGGCTCTGACTCCCATGAGGGAGGGATTGGGGCACAGGACGGAAGAGTCCTGGGGAAGCAACCAGCCCCCTGGTCTCAAGCTCTGGAGGTCTGAGTAAAAATCATGAAAGGAGAAGGTGGACAAGGTGAAGCAGCTAGACTTGATTTTCTGCTATTCAACTGTAGTTTGGAGGTGGGGTAAAAGGGATTGTAAAGTTAAAGGTCCCCCTTGCATCTATGTGCTAGTCGTTTCCGGCTCTAGGGGGCGGTGCTCATCTCCGTTGCAAAGCCGAAGAGCCAGCGCTGTCCGAAGACGTCTCCGTGGTCATGTGGCCGGCAGGATTAAACGCCTTCGAAGGCGCATGGAACGCTGTTACCTTCCCACCAAAGGGGTCCCTATTTTTTCTACTTGCATTTTTTTTTACATGCTTCCGAACTGCTAGGTTGGCAAAAGCTGGGACAAGTTATGCGGCGCTAGGGATTCGAACCACCGAACTGCCAACCTTTCTGATTGACAAGCTCAGCGACTTAGCCACTGAGCCGCTGCGTCCCTCAAAAGGGATTGTTTGAGTGCTAAAAGGGAATCCCTGGAGCAGGTTTGTGGCATGGCTGGAGGATGGAGAGATAAATCTCTAGTAAAGATTGCACAGCTAACAGAAGAGTATAACAGAGTTGGAAGGGACATTGAAGGTCTTCTAGCCCAACCCCCTTCACAAACAAGAGATCATAAGCCATTCTGTTCCGCTGATGAATTGTTCTCACTGTTGTCTTCTCATATCCCCATTTTAGGTGAGCTTCTACCTCCCTGCAACCCATATCGATGTAGACCTTTGAATCTCCTGAGGCATCTCATTTTCTTTCAACTTTATTTGCTCCCTTCCGCCACCAAGAGGGGAGCGTGTGGAGTTGTTTCCCCTTGCTGTTTCACACATGCGCCTGAAAGGGCATCTTACTTGCAACTCTCTGGACACTAGATGTCACTGTTGGTCTTTCATAGTTTCCATCCTAAACCTTACTAAAAAGAGACCCTTTTGAGCTTCTCCTGTTGGAGACAGATAGTTCTGGAGGAGGTCTATCTAAATGGTCACTTTGTCTTGACACCAGCTTGAAGGCACATCATCTATCCATGAAACTACTGGAGGTAGTTATCAGCTATCAGATGTACATCAGCTATCTCAGATGTAGACTGCAAAGCATAATTCCCTCAATACTGTCCAACTATTTACAAAGTCTGCACTACTATTACTATTAATCTTCTCATCACTCCTTATCGCCCATCCCCTCTCACTTGGGACTGTATGACTGTGACTTTGTCGCTTGTATCCTTACGATTTATATGGACTCTTTCCTAGTATGATTTGATTGATTATTTGTACCTTATGACTATAATTAAGTGTCGTACCTGATGATTCTTGACTCTTGACAAATGTATCTTTTCTTTTATGTACACTGAGAGCATTTGCACCAAAGACAAATTCCTTGTGTGTCCAATCACCCTTGGCCAATAAAGAATTGAATTTTATTCTATTCTATTCTATTCTATTCTATTCTAATTGTACCCTATGACTATTATTAAGTGTTGTTTCTGATGATTCTTGACTCTTGAGGAATGTATCTTTTCTTTTATGTACACTGAGAGCATTTGCACCAAGACAAATTCCTTGTGTGTCCAATCACACTTGGCCAATAAAGAATTCTATTTATTCTATTTATTCTATCTATTGCTAAGATGTGATCCAGTTCCTGGAACCACTGGGAATTTTTTTTTTTTTTGAAAAAAATATATATCTGTTTCTGACTGAATGGAACATGTAATCCCATATTCTTCTCTTGATCCTTGTATGAGTATCCTCACATTTCGTTTCTAGCTTGACATTTATGCCCATTTCTTTGTTTCTTGACTTGCACAGATGCAGAGAACTCTGCACTGCAGTGTTAGGAAGAGACTAAATAAATTTTATGATTGAAATGGAGTGTGTGTGTGTCAGACTAGCCCTGATGACGTTAACTAGTTTGAGTAATGAAACGTCTGAAGGAAGCAACCAACCATCTTAATTTGGAAGCATTTTATCTTTTAGATCCCAGTGTCCACTGATTACAGAGAGTAAAAGCACACAGGATCCAAAAATAATACCAACACTGTACAGGTTCCTTTCTTATAGCTGGTTAATACCTTTCCAATGACTTTCCTGTTTGGTCTTTTAATAACCCCCATAATCCCTTACTGGGGTGGAATCTGGGCAACTGAATGGAGCTGAGTGTTTAGTGGCCGGATGCCTTTCCTGTCACCAATACAGAGTTCACAGCAGATAATTACTCATTGTGCCCGGAGAGAGCAATATCTGCCATTACCTAGAATCGAACTCACAGCCTCCTGATTGTGAGGCGAGAGCCCCGTTATCCTAATTTAGAGGTAATTGGAGTTTGTAGGAAGAGCCCTGGTGGCGCAGTGGTTAGAATGTAGTATTACAGGCAAACTCTGCCCATAGTCAGGAGCTCGATCTTGACTGGCTCAAGGTTGACTCAGCCTTCCGGCCTTCCGAGGTGGGTAAAATGAGGACCCAGATGGAAAACATCAAATATCCCTCATGAAGAACTAATACACAAAGTAACAGAAAGTGCTCAGATGAATATGTTAACAATGAAACTGAAAGAAAAAGACAACTCTGAATTCTTTTCAATTTGGAACAATTGGTATAAGTGGCAAACAGACAGAACTAAGTGAGAGAAAAATGTTAATTGAAACAACCCTTAAGAAAGTAAAACAAAATTTTGTAAGTTATATAAAGATGTAAGAATAGTAATCATAGTTAAAGCTATGATTTAGTAGTAGACAAATGTAATATAATGTATTATGTTTAAATCAAAAGCCTGTATAGATGCCAAGAATGTTGTTGATACCATGACGTTTTACGATGTAACAAAACAAAATTAATCAAAATATATTTTAAAAAAATGAGGACCCAGATTGTAGGGGGCAAGAGGCTGACTCTGTAAACCGCTTAGAGAGGGCTGGAAAGCACTGTAAAGTGGTACAGAAGTCTAAGGGCTGTTGCCATTATAATGTAATCCACCTCCAGTTCCATCTCCATATGAAAGGGGCAGCAAAATGCCATCTGCTGATTTTATGCACTTCCTCACCCACAGCCTGGACTTCAAAAGCCATCGATTTGCATGAAGGATTGGCAATACTTGATGGAGGGTTTAAGTGGGTCTTGGAGAAGGCCAGTTAGTGATTCCTGTCCTTCCAGAAGATTAACTGCCTTTCCATCATGGCTTGGGTCCTTCTGCTCTTCATCATCTTCTCCTCCTTCAGTGAGGGATTTTTAAAAAATTACTATAAGGGAGGGATAAACCTTACAGGCATCATATGACTTGCTCTGGTGTCAATCACACAACCGTTCGGTATTTTCCTCTGTGATCTAGTCCCGTTCTTTCCCCACCCTTTCATAATCTCTTTCAGATCTCAGTGTCCAGCAGCTGAAGAACTTGAAAGATCCAGAGTTGGTAGCCCCAGGAGAGACAGTCGTTTTGTCATGTAGCTACAGTGCTGGAACCATCACAGACAACAATTACCCTTTATGGATCCAGCAGAAGCCAGAAGAAGTTCCACGTCTCTTAATGTATGCTACCGGCACCAGGGCCAGTGGTACGCCAGCTCGTTTTTCTGGTTCTAAGTCAGCAAACACCATGTCCCTGATCATCACGGAAAGCCAGCTGGAAGACGATGCAACTTATTATTGTGTTGTTTGGAGTGGCAGTGGGTTGCACATCTGTTCATTAGGATGGGGAACTGAGATAAAAACCTGTCAGCAGGAACTGAACCAAGTTCAGAAGTTTGGAAGCTCCCTTCTTAGTAGAAAGAAGGCCGCAATGAATGAGACTGTAGGGGAAAGTTTTTAGACCACACCGCCAAACAATTTTAAGGAATCAAGAAGTTAAAGCATTTGAGAAGGTCTTAAAGAGTATTTGGCCTCCACTCACCTTGTTTTGGAATAAAAAGATGGACTTTTTGGAATGAAAAAATGAAAAGCTTTCTTGATCAGGAGGGCCTTGCCAAAACGCTTCTACATATTAAAATACCAGTCATCCTGAGATGAAAGATTCCTTAATATGCACTCTTTACAGGTGGGAGAATTCAGGAGTGGTGGGGTGGCCTAGAGGTGGAGGTCTTGACTCACAATTAGAAGGCTGTGAGTTCGATCTTAGGGAGAGGCAGACATTTCTCTCTCTGAGCACCATGAGTAAATAGCTGTGAACTCTGCATTGGTGACAGGAAGAGCATCCGGCCAATAAAACACTCGGCTAGCTCTATTCCGTTGCCCAGACTCCAACTCGGAAGGGATTATGGGGTCGTTAAATGAAGATGATGGCAGGTGGGAGAATTCAGTTTCGAAACTGCATTGACATACAGCTCACTAGCTCCCATTGTATCATGGCCACCAAAAATATATATATAGTCCTGATGGGACTATTGGATTGGACCCTTGGCCTCTTTTGTCTAGCAGTCTGTTCTCACAATAGTCAACCTAACACACAAAGGAAGTCCACTAAGTTCCTACCAGGTAGTCTGTTCGGGCAGTCATAACCCATCATCTGCCTCTTATAGCAAGAACACTTATATACCACTTCACAGTGCCTTTACTGCCCTCTCTAAGCGGTTTACAGAGTCAGCCTCTTGCCCCCAACAATCTGGGTCCTCATTTTACCCACCTTGGAAGGATCGGAGTCTAAGTTGACCTTGAGCCTGGTGAGATTCAAATCAACCAATGGAACAGAAGTTTCTTTTGGAAGTTGTAGGAGCTTCATCACTTGACACTTTCAAGAAGAGTTTGGACTCCCATCTGTCAGAAATGGTGTAGGGTCTCCTGCTTGGGCAGGAGGTTGGACTAGATGACCTACAAGGTCCCTTCCAACTCTGATTATCTATTATCTGTTATCCTTAAAAATGTTCCCCTTCTCATCCAAGAAGCTTCTTCAATTCTCATCCAAAAGCTGAAGAAGCTTCTTGGATGAAACATGAAACGTTTCCAAGGAAAAACAAAGAAGGAAAAGTTGCCATTTGAAAAGCACCTTTGGGACATGAGAAGAACATTTTTATTTCCCAATAAAGAATCACCCCAGAATTCTGGTTGTCGATCAGTTTAAGGAGCCTGGATCTTAAATTTAAGTCATCCCAGAGTCCTCCTGTGACATCACAAGGGTGCAGCAGAGAGCCAAACACAGTTCAGCTGATGATATTTGCATTACAGAGCTGAGAATTTGCCTCCAAGGATTCAATATAAGGCATTTGGAAGGGAAGAGAGGCATGAAAACCCAACAAAATGCACATCTCTCTAAGAATGCTGTGGGCCTACTCTGTTCTGTTCCTGGGATGGCTCTTCTCAGGTGAGTCCAGACCATTGGTTGAAGGTTTTCAA